CTTTAAAAAACAAATGCATATGCACCTATTAAATGCATGCAAGAGCATGCACAATTCCATTTCTCCTCATGTTTAAAAGTGGTTTGCATCGCTCATACAAGCTTACTTTCCTAAAGGAGATTTGCTCTATTTTCTCTATGTTTCCTCATCATCAGTAAGAGAAAATGGGGACAAGCACGTAGGACGGCCTTACATAAACATATCACCAGAGTGATTGACAAATAGGAGGACAAGTTATTTTGATGGTCCACATGGAAAAAGAAAATTCTCCACTAGACATTTAAATTTAAAGCTTTATTTTGCAAATAATCTGGAGATATGTACATATCTACAGATATGTTTCGTGACAGACCTATGACTAATGCAGTGTTAGGACTCAATTAATAAAGCAGTATAACAGAAACCAACACAAGATTCAAAAACGCATTTAGCACTATCCAAAGTGCAGGTCATGTTAGGAGTTGTCCATTTAAAAACACAATCTGGAAAGCTTGACAATGATATATCGATGAAGAAACACCAAGTTCAGATAACAGCCTCATGAGGTACCAGGAAACAGGCTTGTCAACAGCTTTTTTTTTTGGTTACAAAATAATGAATAAGTTCTAACACAGAATTACTAGTTTAATAAGGGAATAGTTTTGCATCCAAGCAGAATATAAATAGACTGATCCAGTTGTCCACAGTGCCTTGCAACACACTAATTTTCCTTTTAACCTTTAAACATTATAATACATCACACCCATAAACTCCACTTGGTTCCTACTAGATTCATACAGCCAGCCTAGGTTGGCTGAGGAGCAATTGTAACAATTCCTGCAGTACATCGAAAAAAAGGAGTACATTTTGTGCCATTCTAACATTTAAATATGCTTTTATTTGAACAATTTTATATTAGGCTGCCGGGTCTGACCCTTTGCCCCAGAGCAAGCTTTCAACCTTTAACTGATTTTTTTCCATGATTTAAATGAATTTCTCTCTTTTTCTTTCCTTTTATCAAAGCCATTTTTCCCTGCTGAAAAACATTCCCAAAGCATGATGCTCCCACCACATTTCACTTGAAGGATGCTGTGTTCAAGGCTTTTATCATAAATAGCCTGTTTGAATATTATTAAGCACCCAACCTAAATGGCAATCTTAAAAGTTTATCATTATTAAAATGAATTTAAAAAAATTATACACCTGCTTTATACATTTTGTTAGCAAGAGCAGTTCCTGAAAGACAAACTAAACAAGCTGAAAACAACCAAACAGCAGTAGATTGAAATTTCACAGGAGGGAGACCTTTTAGTGTATTTTTGTCATGGATGGAGTATTTCACCAGCTGGACACCTAAGCGTGCCCAAAAATTTGTACAAATCATTCCTCTGTACTTTGATGCAATAATTATTCTGGGAAAGTAGATTACTCTCAGAAGAGCTTCAGAGGTTTCAATATATCTCAACATTTGGAAGTAATTTCCCACAGGGCCTGGGGAAACCTTCCCTCTTCTCAGCTCCAAGACAAACAGAAATGTTTTGCTGGCTGCGATTATAGTTACTCAGCTCATTTGTAAAGCTCACAATCTTCATCAAGGAGCTCTTGGCGAAGGAAATTTGACATGATTGTTACCACGCTGACTGTGGGAGTCGCTCGTCAAATCAGGGTCTTATGTCAGATCATAGCTGAAGTGAGATAGAATGGTTTACAATTGGGAATTATGTAAAAGTCACCTGCTGTTCTGATCGAGTCAAAACAAGGAGTCACACAAGATGCATTCAGATCACTTATCAGCGAAACACATCAAAGCAAGCAAACATCTACAATGCCTCCTATGAGAAGCCAGTTGAGAATTAAATGGCTTTTTATGCGCATGGCAGAAAATTTTTGACTCTATGGGACAAACTGCCTTTTAATTTACCTCAGATCCCAATAATGGGGCCACAGTGGTGTCAGATGTAGGAGTTTGCCCTGAAATGGAAGGGTTGATGGTTCAAGCCTCTGGAGTTCAGTGTTGTTGTGTCCTTGGGCAAGACACTTCACCCGCATTACTGTATCTATTGATGGTGTTTACAGGGCCTGGGTGTGCCAGTGTAAGGCAGCCATACTTCTGTCAGTAAGCCCCAGGGCAACTGTGGCTACACCATCGGTTTGTCAGTGAATGGGTAAATAACTGAATGTAGTGTAAAGAGCTTTGGTCAAGTCTCCTGACTTGAAAAAGCGCTATAGAAGTACAGGCCATTTACCTTAATAATTTAACATGAAAGTTGATCCTTTTGACACATTGGCACAATGGATGTTTGAACAGAGAAACATGGTACCTACATGCCTTGAAAGTTTAACAAATTTAAAAATAAAATTCTCTTCCTGATTTCTTTGAGTTTTTCCCAATAACACCACACATGGATGCAGTGTTGTGTGTGTTGTTATTACTTTTTTTTTTTCATTACGGTTCACCATGATGCCAACCAGAATAGAACCTAAATAATCTGACAACCTAACATGTTTCCTTAGATCTAAGGAAACATGTCAGGATTTCCACGAACAGTACAGGAACCAACATGACTCAAGACGACCATGAACTGTTAGAAGCTTGACCAATGTGGTCATTGTCCAGAGTGAAGCCTATGACTGACAAAGACAGCAGCAGGTATATTTGGAGGAATCAAGGTGAAGCTTTTATCCAAACATTGTACAAATAATAAATGGTTAATGGTTTGTATTCAAAAGCCCTGCATCCCAGCACAGGAAATTTCAATTTGAAGGCCCCCGAAAGCTGGAAATGTGAGCTATAAAGTCAAGACAACGCGACCGTATCTGACCTCTGCATTTATTATGGATGGTACGTTACATTGGCCTTGGAGGCCAAAACAAACAATGAAGAACAAAAGCATCTACATGGGACATTGTCATCTCACAAATTACTTCAATTTGAGTTTTGAGGTAAATCCAATACACAAAGTGTCGTGCATGGGTTGTGCAATAATGACAAAAGAGGATGACCTTCTTAAAATTTCAAGAAAAATGGGTCTAACAGCAGAACTTAGAACAGTTTCTAGACTGGATAAGTGGGGCTAAAATAAAATTTGATTAAGCTTTTATAAGTGTGTTATATTAGTTTGGCCAAGAAGATATACCAAATAACTTCCCTGAATTTATACCAGAATCTTATTCTCTTGGTGTCAATGATTTATATATGATTCAGTTCAATTCAGTTTTCAGATTTATTCAGATTTGTATAGCATATATTCACAACACATGCAGTCTCAGGGTACTTTATAGAGACAATTCAAACAGATAATACAGTCAGATTGGTAAAAAGAAGAGACAGCAGTGGATATTTGCTTACATTTTGTCTTTGACTCCATAGAAATCCCTCACACCTATGATGAGCACATACAGTTAGTCACAGTAAAAGCTGAGCCTATTGCTATGTCCAGTTGATATATCTTTCCAGGATGGTCAGATTCCAGATTAAGCTAGCAGAGGGAACATAAAGTTAGAGGTTAAACTAACAAATACCAAAGAATGGGAGAAAAAAAGATAGAATGAAGAAGAACGATGAAAAGTGGTCCAAATGTCCTCCAGCAGCGTAAGCCTACAGCAGCATAGAGATAGTTCAGGATAACGTGACTAAGATGACACTGAGCTTTATCGAAAATTAAAGTCTTGTCTCAAAAGTAAACAGTTTGTCTGCCTCATGGACTAAACTGGTAGTTGGCTATCTATAACATTTATCTTTCAGGCTTCATATATGAGGCCCACAATTGAAAAAAAAGTAAGGTGTATAACAACCCATCCCTTGAAAAAAAAATGGAGCACTAAAACCCAGAATAAATATGACACTGACTGAACTCTATGATAAATGTTTTTAAACATGTGACCATGGCTGTATAATGTATGAGATGCATTAGCAGTCTGTACACTGGGGGCTAAATATGGAAGGTTAAAATCAAGTGTAGCAGCTGAATCTAATCAAATTAGGAGTAAATGAGAAGCCTTGTGTTTTTCCTTTATCCTCTGTAATCTTAATGAAATTAATTGCATCTCGTATATGGTTTGAAAAGTTTTCTTGTAGTAGATTAAACAATCTGTAGGTCTACATGCTTTTCTATGTGATCTTGATGCTGATAAGTAAAGGTTGCTTTATTCATTTATTCCTAATCATGCAATTACAAAATTCAAGAAATTAGCATTGATGATGTAAGATCAAGTGATTACCAAAAGGCATGAAAATATTTCGGAACATTACAATTTTTAGATATATATATATACATATATAAATATATATATTTATATTTATATTTATATATATATTTATATTTATATTGAGATTTTACATGATTAAAACTAGCTAATAAACTTTTGAAGTCCATCTAAACTGAATTTATTTCTAGACTTTGATTAGGCCATTCTAACACACACAAACCATCCCATCCTAGATCTTATTGTGCTTTAGGGTCTTGCTGCAAAGTGCTTCTGGGAAACTACAAATTGTTTCATTTTGCAGAAAATTCCTATAATTTTTTTTGCACTGGCTTATATCTGAGTGTACCAGAGGGTATGAATCTTTATGTCTTAAATATATGTTTAAACTTTGCAATTGTGCCCTACAACCAAAAATTTACCTTTCAGTCAGGTTTGTGGTTTCCACCAAATAATTCAATCAGTAGGAATAGTTTTACTATCAAGAAAATATTTATATGTTGAGCATAACCTGACAAAAAGTTCAAGGTCAAAGAAAAGTTTCTTACATTAAAAAAGCCTAAGACAGAAATATGTCAGAAATATCTCTGAGCTGGAAGGAAAGCTGAAGTTTATCTCTGCCTGATGGTTGGGTGTTATTATGTTTGTTTTTTTGTTTGGCTGTCCCTACGGTCCATAGAGGAAACCCATCCCTCGTGAGTAAAGTGAGCGGGGTGGAGGGAGTGTGGGGGGTGTTCACCATTGAGGCCTCAGTCTTCTGCCTTTTCATTGGTCAAAAAAAAAACAACTGTACCAGTTTAAAAGCAGACGTCGCTTTCTTCCCCCCTTTTTAGACGGCTCAACCCCTAAACACAGGACATATAGGGAGGGACTGACACAGAGCTGTAGAAAGATAACAAGAGTTGGTTTCAGGATGCCTGCGTACTCCACCAACATGAGGCTGAAGTTCCCCATCCTGGCCTTGATTTTGGAGATTATCACCATCATCCTATATGCTGTGTTTGTGACCTATGATGATGGGCATGGCCATCATGATGATCACCACAAAACCAATGGCACTGAAAAATCTCCTTTGGATCTATACCCTAGTAAGTGATGCTGATGGATGCTCTTTTTTGGATTCTCACTATTAACTTAATCCTAAGGCTAATCTACATGCATTGCAGCTTTTTAATTACCTAAAGGTGCAAAGAAAACATCTAAAAGACTAGGCTGTTTTTCTAAAACAAAATAAATGTGGGACATAGCTGATATTCAAGCAAACTTCTTTGAAGGTTTAGATTCAAAAGATCGTCTTTCCTTATGTGCTTTTACCTTGACTAGTTGTAAACAGACATAGAAACATTTAAAAGTAGTTTCAGGTGCATGATTATAATTTTTTTGCTTTGTTTATTAAAGATGCACTAGTAAGCTTTTCTTACAGTCAGATTTCTGCAGCCAAGGATCTAAGAGGATCCTGCAGGAGAAAGTGTGATCTGTGGCAGAAAAAAAGCTTACATGTGATTTTCATTAGTATGTCACAGAGGTAATTACAGACAGTCAGTTATAAGGTGGCCAGAGCAGCAAATTGCAGCTTCTGTTGCTTTGTGAGAATCCCATCTCCAAGATGCCTTGTGCCTTCAAAGAGGCACTGAGGCTCCTCTTTGCATCTGAGCAACTTATCTGCATAAAACATAGACTGAAGTTGCAGTTAATGAGCTGCTGTTTGGTCTGCTGATGGCTGGGTGGGGCAGGTGTGAGTCTCAGAGATTAGTGGAGCCTCCAGAATTTTGAAATCTTTCACCCTAGATATGACGATCTAGTTTCACTGTAAAAGATTATGTATTATTTCTTCCTAGCCTTATTTTCATATAATAAAAGCTGATATAAATATGTTTCAATGTTTACTTTACCTTGAATATATTTTTTCCCCTTTTCTGAATTAATTCATGAACATACAGTTATTGATTAAATATGGAAATATGTTGTTTTGAGATTATCTGGCTCAGCTCAGAAAAATTGTGAAATAAAATCATTCATCCTCCTTTTGAAGGTGATGCTGAAATAAATTCAAATGCAGCTGTGAAATAGCTTTAGGTTTAATGCAGATTGCCTTTAGAGAACAATAACTTTTGCACAGCTGGCATCAGTCTTCACTCATACATTTCACACATTTTCTCTGATCTTGGCACGCCAATGCAACGTTACCTAACTTCTGGGCGTGTCGCCATTTATAGTGGCTGCTCACCAGTTTTATTTCACAGACATCCTTAAACCATTGATCACTGTATTGTAATAACTCATTACAAGCAAAGACAAGTAAGCAGGTCTAATAAAAGCAGCCAGTAATCTGAAAGTGGTCAAAAGAAAAAAAATTATAAGAAAGTAGATTATGTATCTTTTAGAATAAACCAGATATCTACTCCTCAGTATTTTATTCCCATCATATTAACTTTTGAAACGTTTTGCTTTTTAAATAATAACATAACTGTGTTTGCAATGAAAGTGTATATTAAACATTATATGCAAATGCACATTGAGATCTGGGTTGAGGCGTATATGCTTAAGGATTCGATTAATATATATGTAAGGAGGAAGCATGTTTTTTGTACTGAATCGTAGTAGATTTCAACATTTGAAAAAAAAATCAACTGTTTGGACACAGCACTGGAATGAACTAAGTTAAAAAGAAATCTAAAAGATAATCCACACAAACAAACAAATAAAACAAGAACAAGAATTATTGGAAATGTTATTTACGATCAACAAATTTGATTCGGCTCAACTGTTATTAGAATTTAAATTCATATTCTAATAAAATATTTATCTTCAGTTAAAAGGAAGAATATTTCGACCTAAATTTAGATGAAAATATGTTAAAAAGTCAATATTCCCCTGGTATGCTTACAAAAAGTGAAAAGCAAAGGATGTCCTTATAAAAATGTCCTTTTATACCTCAGTGGAATTAAAATGACATTGGAATTAATTGAATGGATTAAATAAACAGGTGTTTTAGTATTCTTTTTATTAAGGGCTAAATCATGGCTGCAGATGTTCAGAAGTCCTCTTGGATATCTATTGTTCATGAGGACTGGGGTCTTCATAGATAATAAAAAGGTAAAAAGGTGCAAAAACAGCAAAACAGCTTCTAAGTCAAATTGTTTATGTCAGCTAAGTTTCACCGCCTTTTCAGATACATTTGATTTTAGGCAATGTATAATTTAATGAAAAAGTGTTGTGTCTCACAGAATCGATGAATTCGAATGATTCCGGTTGCTTTCCTCATTGCATGTGTATAAAGTTCAGTGTGGAGAGAATTGATTGGCATGCATTGTAAATGCATGTTAAAGTAGAGGAATACAGGGTTGTAGGTTTTAAAACTAATACCTGTAGTTTTTTTCTTTGTTATTGCTTTTTTTACTGTGTCAGTGTGCTCCAGCATTTTTCAAAACAGTTGCTTTTTGGAAACCTCACAAAGGTTTGATGAACAATAGAGGAAACGTAAAGTGACATAAAGTGACACTAGATAATTTGAAAACACTGTAAATTAGTTTTAGGAGTAATGTATGGCCTCAGTATCTTAATCATGAATGTTTCTATTTCTTTGACTTTGTGCAAAGAAAAAGTGAAGTTTAAGAAACACTTTGGATGCATATGAAGTATCTCAATTAGTCATTCCACTGAGAAACTTCACCAGCATATCTCAAGTAGTGAACATTTTGTTCCAGAGTTTATATGTAGAAGGTTAGAGAAAAATTATGGTTTAACTGTAGTGGATGACATCTATATGGAAGTCAAAACCGCCATAATGCCTCTTAAGTAAGCTTTTTCTGTAATTGGTCCATTTCTGCTAAACAATATTTGTACATCAATAAATAAAAGCGGTCGGACATGACACCAGGAGGTGCTTAAGCTGTTAAAGGGGAGGTTCCTTTTCTACTTGCATTACAAGCATGCTCAGTATGAGGGATTGCTGCAAACTCAACAATATGGTGCTCATCCAGGAGAAGCAATTCGTGCAAGTCAATGACGCAAAGCATCCGGTGATTCTACTAAACTTACTTTGCAAAGTTCTTAGAGATGTCATGTGTTGTGATTTACCGCTATATACATGGTCTGAGTTAATTGAAAAGATTTGATGGATGTTGATCCATGCACTTTACTTTTACAGAGTATTCCAATTAAGGGTATAAAATCACTCATCTTTAACCAGAACCAACAGATAAAGCAAATTTTCTGTCTTAACTTTGATTACATCCAATAGGAGTTGTTATATTTAAAAACAAAAAAAAACAAGATGTCAAACCAACCACCAACCAACCATACCAACAATATATAAAATACAATTCTGCTTTAAAACAGACATAACATAAAGCAAACATTTCGTTTTGCATCTTGCAGTAGGTTCGTATTGCTAGTAGCAGCAATTCTGAGCCTAGCTGTAAGGAGAAACTATAGTTTTTTACAAATCAGGAAAGAAAAAAAGCAAATGTAAATGTGACACTCTTCCCATTTGTAACGTACGACTGAAGAGGCAAATATTTAAGTTTGGTGACATTTCCACTTTAAACTTCACATTTTAAAGACTTCACCATTTAAAAAAAATCTTACATTTTCAAAGAAATTTTGTGGCCGATAGAAAGGGAATTAAATAAACTGTTCATTCATAGTCAGATTTTAAGTGTCTGAGAAGCCTATATAATAATTTTTTTATAATGAAAAGAACTTGAATTACAGTAGAAGTTCTCCCCAACTTCACAATCCAACATGGACGCCTCACATGTCAACATTACCAAAACTATAGAAAATTTGTCTAGATTTGTAAGTTTAAGAAAAGTGCATTGTTCTTATCTCATAATGATAACAATAGCTATCATGACCCTAAACACAGTTGTTTAGAGTGAGGTTTTCCAGACTTAATCTGGAATACATGTCAGTAGGATCCAATGTTATGTGCAGGTCAGATCTCCGACCTTCAAAATAACTGAAGGACAAAAGCGATTGATTAAATTAATTTCTTAACAGAGTTCTTTTTAATCAGATTTCTTCTCATTTGAACCCAATAAAGCTAGCATTCACATAGCTTAGTGGTCTGTTATTTTTAGTGGGGATTTCTTAAGCAGATTTGTTTCAGTTTTCGCAGTATATTACTGTAGATATTGATATTTTTTTATTTATATCTTTGTCTTTCTGACCAACATTTAATATGTTTTTTTGCTTTGTTTTTACCGTATTGAAGCCTCTTAATGTTGCATATTACCCCCATGCTAATCAAACTAGCAACTTTTAGAAAGTTGCTAGTCTATATATTGTGGAGAGCATGTAATGTGAATAAAATCAATTTGAAAAGACTGTGTTTATCTTATTCCAGAGTCACTTTGAGGCCAACTTATTTATTTTGCTTGTTTATTTATTTGTTTACTTATTTATACCAATCTCAGCAGGAGCAAAACCACCAACTCATTCTCTGTCCAAGCAGTCTTAAATTTTGTGCATTTTTATTTAAGAAGGCAGAGTGTCACTAAAATGAAAAAGTAATTAAATTATTGAATTATCTAAAAACAATCGCTGCCCCTACAAGTGATGAAAGCATAGCTTAAAAGCTCCATTAGATAGGCTGTCAGGGGCCACATGTGGTCTTGCATTTGAAAACCCTCTGGAGGCCAGCTGTTATCCAGAAAGCACATAAGTTTTTAATTTGTTTTCATATCTTAGCATTGGTAAAGAAAATCTACCAACATGTTTCCCCAAGTCACTGAAGAGCTCCTGGTTTGTGTAAAGAAACTATACTATAGCAAATTTAAAAGGAGGTGAGGGAATTCAGCCTATTGTTTCCCAGCCTATATATCTGACATATTTTCAACATGAGAGACTCATCATACTAAGCTTCAGAAATATAAAAGCTGTTGGTGATGATAAGTTTTCAAGGAAGTACCAGACTTTATGTGCATCCTTCAGAAAAATACCTGCACTTAACTCTTTACTTTGGGAGCATTTTATGGATTGTTTCTCCTTGTTTGTGAAAAGTGCCACATAACAAAAAGTATCACTATTTTTGTTGTTTAAAGCATATATTTGCACTTTAGGAGTATAACAGGATCATATGCACTTAATCAGAGGTGCCACAGAGCAAAAGACCAAGCAAGAATTGTCCCAAAATGCTATTCATAGTTAGATTAACTTGGTTTCACAGCAAACAAGTGACAACAGTTACCTCTGTTGAGAAACATGACTCCTGTTAAGTTCACTAACTTTCAATAAGTCATTTAAAATAAAAAAACAAGTTGAAGAATCCATGAGGAAATGGTTTAAACCCAAATGGAAAGTTTTACCTTGACGTGCTTCATTTGATTTTTATAATGTCCTCATTTAGCAGTCGATGAAATGCACTTTTTATGCTATGCTGCAGTGTTTCAGGATGTCCATGTCATGATCTTCATCGGCTTCGGGTTCCTGATGACATTCCTCAAGAAATACGGGTTCAGCAGTGTGGGTGTCAACCTGTTGCTAGCTGCCTTCGGTCTCCAGTGGGGGCTCCTCATGCAAGGATTGTGGCACATGACGGATGGCAAGATTAAAATGAACATCTTCGGGTATGTTTTCAAAATTGCTGAAACAAATGCAATCAAAAACACAAAAATTTGCTTTTTTAAAAGCTTTTAGCTTTTTAATATTGATGCCTAAATAAGTATTATACCCATTAACCGGTCACCCATTCTGTCACATTAACAGCATAAGCTTTAGTTATTTCATTGGGATTTTATGTAAAGGATGAGTTATGAGATTGAAATCTATTTTTTACAAATAAATAGTTAAAACAACATCTTGACCAGTGTTCAGGCTTTCACTGAAAATGAAAAAGAAACTGTTTGGAAAACCTTCCATGTAAGATGGATCAATGCAACCCTTTAAAGACAAAGTCCTTCCTTCCTTCCTTCCTTTCTTCCTTCCTTCCTTCCTTCCTTCCTTCCTTCCTTCCTTCCTTCCTTCCTTCCTTCCTTCCTTCCTTCCTTCCTTCCTTCCTTCCTTCCTTCCTTCCTTCCTTCCTCTTCGTACTCATCCAATACAGTGTGCTGGTCTACCACATAAGTTCCTGCAAGACAGTCAAATGAGAAAAATAAAAAGAATTAATCAGGAGTAAAATTATCATAGTTCTGTTTATTATTTTATCAAGATATTATCTCAATTTTTCTGCAGTATGATCAATGCAGATTTCAGCACAGCTACAGTCCTGATTTCCTTCGGTGCCGTTCTGGGTAAAACCAGCCCTGTGCAGCTCCTCATTATGACCATCCTGGAGATCACAATCTTCTCCATCAATGAGCATCTGGTGGCTAACATTCTGGGGGTGAGATTATAATAGCACAAACCAATGATCACAAAGCTAATCCTGGCATTTTACCTAAAAAACATTGTAAAACATCTAATTTTTACAGGCTAATGATGTTGGAGCGTCAATGATCATCCATGCTTTTGGTGCTTACTTTGGCTTGGCAGTAGCTCGCGTTCTTTATCGACCTGGTTTGAGTAACGGACATGAGAACGATGGATCTGTTTATCACTCTGATATGTTTGCAATGATTGGTAAGAAAAATGAACACAACAAAAAAATAACTGTACGCATGACAAAGATGCACCATACAAAACTTTAGATTTTTCTTAAACAGTGAAGCTCCAACTGAAAACAATGAAATAAACATGGTGGTGTTTGTAGTGACACGGTATAAATAGCTATTTTAAGAGTTTTGTATTTGTTTGTAAAGATTTTTACAATGCATTTTCCTAACTAAATCCAACCTGTTTTAAACTGTCTAATTACAATACATTTAATAATATGAAGATGAATTCCTCAAGTTAGGACACATTTTCCCTCAATACACACAGGCAACACCTGTTAATGATCCATTTAGGCAGCCAATATTCTGCAGTATGTTTAAACCATTGCTCAGTTTTCTACACCTGTACCATGTCTCCCACCAAGTGGACACAAAAAAGTAGTGCAGTCTGTGACTTACAGGCTATGAAATCCAATGTTTATTTATTTATGAGTCGTATCATCCAAGCTAAACTTACTAATTGTGCAGGAACCGTGTTCTTGTGGATGTTCTGGCCCAGCTTCAACTCAGCCATCGCTGAACGGGGTTCCCCTCAGCTCACTGCAGTGATCAACACCTATGTCTCTCTGGCTGCCTGTGTGCTTTCTGCCTATGCTTTCTCCAGCTTGGTGGAGCACAAAGGAAAACTGGACATGGTAAGGCTGTACACTCATCTAAAGTAGATAACTAAACTACATTTTAAACTTATACTAATTACCTTTACATCAACATAGGTACACATACAGAATGCCACTCTGGCTGGAGGTGTTGCAGTGGGAACTTGTGCCGACATGCAGATCCAGCCTTTTGGTGCCATGCTGATTGGCTTTGTGGCTGGCATCATTTCCACCCTGGGCTTCAAATACCTCTCGGTGAGTTGAAAGCAAGCAAGTTGGTGTAAAAAAAATAGCTCCAGTAAATTACAGCTAGATCAGAAAGAAATTCTTTACTTGGAAGAACCTGTTTTTTTGTCACATGTACCTAGACCAAATATGTGACCTGAAAGAGACAATATTTCAAAAGTCTAGCAGCTCTTTCAGGAAAACTCAGAACTTAACCTTCCTAGCAATATCATTCAGTTCATGTTGCGTACTACAAGATGTTCCCTCCCAGTGGGAAATGCCTAGAAAGCAGGAGCTGTTCTTAAGAGAACTCCTTCTGATACAGAAAAGCATTACTTTTTATCCAAACTCCTGTTTCAAGAAAAATTTTCCTCTCCAAGGCTGAAAGTCTTCCTATGGAGGAGCCTCATTCTATCAGCTTCTATTTCATTCTATAAAGAAACTTCACTTTATGACTAAACTCTGTCTTTATTAAAACGGTCTAGATCAACATCCCCATTGTCCCAAAAGAGGCCCACTTTTATCAATCTCCCACGCCATTCACTTGTGAACTAGAACCTTTACTGAGGTTCCTATGCTAAAGCTTATATCATGACAGAACCGCATTGACTGTAAAGGTGAGAACCTAACCAGTACAACTTATTTTAAACTAAACTTGGTGCAAATAATATAAATAAACCTCTTGCCTGGGTTATAAAAGTCCAAGCAAAATTTGATAGTATGAGAAATGCTTCTCATCCCTCTAGCATTGCATTTAAAATAATAGCCCTGATCCCCCAATACATCCACATTAAACTTTTGACACCTACGCTGCCTTTGGGTTATTCTCTTTTAATCTGTAAAGGAAAGACAGCAAAAAAAAACATTACGAAAGCTTTATGCAAAGTTATTCAACATGTTTTAGGAACCACACAGATCATCCTTGTCAAAATCCTAGGGGTTTTGGTACTAAAACCATCTTGATAGGATAGTGAAAAAATATTTTCTAAAAGAGTTCATTTTTCCATTTTGTTTTACATGTAAAAGTCCAATAATAAATAGTTTTGGGTTGTTTGTCAGCAATGAAAGACTTTCCAGCCCCATAGGATGAATTTATATAGTTAGTAGGGATTAATAATGGTAAACATACTTATCAGAGGATTACTTTGAAAGAAAATTGCTGCTTTTTAAACAATGAATATTTTGTGTTTTTTTTCTTCCTCTACAGCCAGTCTTGGCATCCAACCTGGGTATCCAGGACACCTGCGGTGTCCACAACCTGCACGGCATGCCTGGCATCCTTGGAGGATTGGCTGGCATTGTTGCTGTGGCTTTGGGAAAAGCGGAAACGGGGTAAATGCTCCATTCATGGTAACTAAAACAAAGGTACAACAGAATTGTTGCTTTGAAATAATGTTATTGTTCCTTTAAATGTCAGCTCTGCAGCCATGCAAGCTGCTGCCCTGGCTTCTTCCCTCGGGTTCGCTCTGATAGGAGGTGCTATAACTGGTGAGTGGGGATGAAAATGGAAACAGTGAAACTGCAAAAACTGACTTAACAAACATTTTATTGTTGTCCTCCAGGGATGATAATGAAGCTGCCATTCTGGGGACAGCCTCCAGACCAGAACTGCTTTGATGACTCTCTTTACTGGGAGGTATGGATTCCCATTTCTCTTTCTGAGAAATGCCTTTTGCTTTGCATTCAACCTCTGTTTGCATTATCCATTCATCATATTTTGCTATGATGCTGATTTGCTGCTTTTACAGGTTCCTAATGAAGAGGAGGAGAACGAAGGAAGTCTGGCTGCTGCAGAAAACTCAAAGAACAAAGCAGAAGCTTGAATAGTGGCATATTTTCTCTTCTAACGGAAAAAGCAGACATGGAGATGCTGTAGTTTCCAGACAAATTAGTATAGAAAAAAAAAAATTAGCACTGCTTTAATTTGTTATGGTTTTTACATGTTTTCTGCACAATGGCTCTTAGTTATGAAATGATTTTCAGAAAATTATACTTGGCAGACTAAGTAACAAGCAAATATTTTTATTTTACACTGAAGATTTTTTAAAGAAAGGTTTCATAACTATCCTAGCATTCAAAGCAACTTAATTTCTTCACGGCTAAAATATAGATCTTATAAGCTTTCTTATTGTAATGTTTTTATTCTAAGGAAAATACATGTATTTTTCTTGCCAAATGCATGTCTGCTTAAACACCAGAGGCTTTGATGTGCTGCTTCACACAGTCCAGTCCTTTTATGGAGTCAGAGTCTGACAGTTCAGCTCTGACACGAGCTTGGACGGTCGCTTCATTTTTTTTATGACTAATAAACCTTTATACATCTTATCTTGTACATTTTAGCAAAAAAAAATCTATGTTACAGATTAAACTGGGTTTTATTTTTTCTGTTAGAGTAAAACTATTATTTTTATATGTACATACAGTTTGTTTTTTTATGGATTGACACGGTCGGTTTTTATCAAAGCTAACAATGGCAGCCGGTACTCTAGTCATTTTTACTGCAAATTATTACTCCTTCCAAGGCTTTATTTTCAGCTTATATTTTACTTTGTTCCTGTTTTCACTGTCAGTTGGTTACTGTAAGATTCTTTTGGAATATGAGTCTTTAAAACAAACTAAAAAAGCAAATTCCTCACGTTTTACCAACAGTATAAAAGCTTCTCTTGTTTAAGCAGCAGGGCTCTATAGTGCTTTTAATTTGTATCTGCTTAGAAATGCTATACTGATGCCTTGATGAAACTGACTACAAATAGGAATTATCAAATATATAGCTTGTTCATAATCTGTCATGCATTATGTCTTATGACATATATTTCAAGACATTTTGCTTCTAGTTTCTATGCATTGGGCATTTGCTCCTATATGTACAATATGCTGATAGACATATTAAAAAGTTTTTTTGTACAATACTGCTGCTGATGTGCTGGTTTCTTTCATACCCATAGGCATTAATACATAGATGCCTCATTGGACGCTGCTGGCAGTGAGGTCGACGTGCCTAGAGGGCAGCCATCTTAAGTTTGACCATAGTTCAGACCACTGATGTCAGAATGAATAGAAGGCGCCTCAGATCTAATTTTAATAACATGGAAGATGAGTCAAAGATAATATCACAATAATTTATATCCATATCCTATATGTGTCACAACCCCTTGAAAGACCAAAACAAATTTTATAATGACCTTTCAGTTAGATTACACATATTTATTTAGACTAAAAACAATTTAAACTGAAGTCAAAATAGATTAAATATATACATAATTATATTTTGTGCAGTTAATTAGTAATATGATAAACACAACATTTTATGTTAATATATTATAATATTATATGATATAAATATTATATATTTATATAGTATATTATTATTATTCAGTATTTTTAAGTATTGTACTGTGATAAGTAATATGATATGTATAGGCAATGTAGTTGTAATGTGGTTTACAAGGAGACTAAGTTTATTTTTTAGCATTTTTATTAGTTTAATGTGAATTTTTATGTATTTTTTTTCATTGTGAAAACTTTTTGTCAAATCGTAGTGAATGGTAAATTTACCTTGTCTCTAACTCACAGGTTTTTTCCTTATAAGTGTCTAAACCTCTTCCAAAACTCTTTTTCAAACCATGTTTGTTATTATTATTATTATTATTATTATTATTATTATTATTATTGATGTGTGCCACATATTTCAAATCCTATGTATTCTTATTTAGTTTAGTTTGTTTTTAGTTTTTTTTATTTATATTTTAGGTTACTTTATGTATATATTTTTTTGTTTCTATATGTAAAATGGCCAAACTGCTTCATGGACAAGCACTAGTTTTACCAAAAACAAACAAGGTAGGCGTACTGACAGAAGACCTAGCAAAGGAAATGATGATGGTTAGAACTGAAAATAAAAGAACAATTTCAAGTAAATTGACAATTAATGTTATATATAGGATATATAGGATAAAATAGTTATTTATTTGCTGATGCCTTTACAGTAGCTTTAAAAACTGTACTTTTAAGTTTCTCATAAACCTTATATATTGATGTATTTATTATAATGAAATCTGGCAGTGTCAGTATCCTATGTTGTTTCATTTCATATTTTCAACATATCTGGAGTGAATGGAAACTGTTGCATAGTCGTTGTTTTTTTTTTAAACAACAAATTTACAAAGTTTGATAAGAGATGATGATGAAAATATAAGCAAAAAAAAAAAAAAAACAAGTTATCAAATAAGTGGAATCCATGATTAGTACAGCAGTAATTGATTTGCTGATGAAGGCTACTACTATAACGTGAAATGATGTATAAATGTGTCTCCTTATGAATTATAAAAATCCGATTTAAAAAAAATCCTAATCTCTTGCACATAATCTTAATTTGAATAGACTAGAAAAGAATGTTTGGTGAATTGGTTGTCTTAATAAGATTCACATGGGGTATGCACATTAAGAAAATTATTGATAAATGTAGGAAGGTATTAAATATAATGAGGTGTTAAGTTGGAACAGAGTGGGGAGCTGATAGAAAAGCCTTAAAAGCCATTTATACTGTAGTTAGTATTGGACTATGGCTGTATAGTTTATAACTCAGCAGCAGATACAAACCTCCAAAAGTTAAATATTATTCACATCAGACTTTAAGAATATGTACTGGCGCTTTTAAAACATCTTCAACAGCAGCATTACAGGTTGAAATGGGAGAAAAGCCTCCCAAATTTAGAAGAGATCAATTATCTTTAAACTACTGGTCAAATTTACAGGGACAAAGGAATGATCATCCAACATTAGAGGTGCTTAAATCTGGATGGGAAAAAGAAAAGAAAAAAAATTAAAGAGCTTTGGATCGGTAATAAACACTAGAGTTAATGAACTTCATTTAAATCGGTTAAAAATATGTCATACGGTTCCATTAACTGCTATACCACCTTGGATACTTCCTGATGCTGAAGTTGATCTTTTATAATTAGAAAAGAAGAACAAGAATACATTTCAAATTATAAATTAATAAACAGTACAAGAACACTTAAATAAATATAACTGTGTACAAATATATACAGATGCATCAAAAAAATACGGCTAATAGGGTAGGGATAGCATTTATTATACCACAGTTTTCAAATTAGTAGTACAGGAGAAATGCTTGCTTTGCATTTAGCAGTTTAATGGATGGAATAGGTAAGACCATTAAAATCTATCATTTGTTCAGATTCTAGTTCATCATTAGTCAGTTTGCAAAATAAGACAGTAGGCCAGATATATTAAGTGAAATACAACAAACACTTAACAGAATAAATATGATGGGACAAGTAGTACTTTTTGTTTGGGTTCTGGCACATAACGAGATTGAGGGAAATTAAATGGCAGACAGGATGGCTAAGGAGAGTACAAATAAGGTTAAAATAGATATTGTTAGTTTTAGTATAACAGAAATAAAGGGTATAATTAAACAAAAAGGAAACTCAGTAATATGAAAATGAAACTTGACATCATTGATTTGCTGCAAAAAGAATAATGAAGCAGAGGATATCAGGTTATATTTTAAATTTTTGAAACAGATTAAATTGTATAAAAGGATATAGTTTTTTTGTTTGTTTGTTTTTTTGCCGGCGATCACACTTCTTACCAGCTGATAGCGGTAATGCTCACCTAACGTTTTTGACAACCGCTATAAAATTTTCAACAAGAAGAAGATTATCTTCATTCATTCGCCACTAGGGGCACTGTGCCACTTTCCAGTGTCGCCTGTTGTTTTGAATTCAGTCATCCGCGGTGCATCATGGGATACAAAATGTGTACAAAGATGGCTAACAACTGCTAATTCGCCCGTAATAATTGTAATTGTATATCTATTTAACATTTTTTCGCAATAGTTGTGGTGTCGTTAAATGTATGACGTGTTAACTGTAGTAAGTCCTCATTATGGTGAGTACAGGAACTGTTTTTTAACCCGCTCGGCTTTAGTTTTAGCTTTAGCTTAATGTAGCTCTGCTGCAGCAAGTACGATTGAATGTGCATTAAACGAATTAACTCTCTTAATTTCTATCTTTTCGTCACAAAAAAAAAACTCTTAGAGCACAAAATAAAACTACCCCGTGTCATCAGTTAAGATGTTTTATTATGTTATAAATGTGTAGATTTTGATAGGATATTGTTTCCTGATAAATCTAAGTTTCAGCCATACGTCAATAGTAAATGTTTTCCTTGTGTTTGTAGTCAACCAGAACGGAGCGCAGGGTGTCCAGCTCTTCGTCCAGGACAGATGAAAGGACGAGATCAAGGAGCAGAGGTAGGTTTTATTTCCATCTTACTACCAGGGGTTTAAATTCTGCACTACTATAAATGGAAGAGGAAGTAAAGAAAGAAGTTGGACATTGGAGATGTTTAAGCTGCACATTTATCAAATATTTGATTAATCCTATCCAATAATCAATTAGTTTTTCTATCCAACTGGTTATATATGTGATTTTTAATCAGCTATCCATTGATCTGTCTTCATCCATTCATGTCTTTCAAACAGCTCTCCATCTGTTTATCCATCCAGCCTCCTCTTCATCTATTGATTCATGCTGTACAATATCTGTAACCCGACATCTGAATGTTTGTATTTATTAATTTTTAGTCCTTGATAGATGATTAAAAACAGGAAACTTGAGTCTGAAAAATGTTGAGGAATATGTGATCGATAGCTGGTGGGAAAAAAGGTAATATTTGCAAAATATTAGTGAGTATTGCTACAGTATGATGCAAAAAAGAAATGAGGAGCAGAGTAGAGGATATAAATTTCATTGGCAGTTAATGAAACAGGTGGCAATAAAAATTGATAAGAAACAGAGGAAGAGCTTAACCTGTTCCAAGTTGTGAATTGGAGAGATTATTAATGCATTGGACAAAGGATTTTGAACAATTCCAAATAGGTCATTTATAAATGCCCTGAAGGAAGATATGCAGAGGTTTGATGTGAAGGATGGATGAGGTGAGATAAAACAAGATCTCTCGCCTTTAGAGGGAGCGGCAAAAAGATAATTGTAAGTAACATATAAGCTGTTTAGGTGGCGCATGATTTAAATATGATTGATTCCAATTCTCATTCTGATTCTTCATGCTGATCCTGATTCCTTTTGGTTCTCTGCTACAATTCTTCAAGGAGGAGGGATTATCCATTTTTATATGTTATAATTGAGTTGGCCAAGCAGAGCTCTGTCTGGCTGAAATAGTTCTCTATGAATCTTAATTCCTCGAAGTTTTATTATACGACCCCCTCACCAGTGTGGCAGGAAGCTGACTGGTCATTTTTTATTTGATTTTAGGATTTCAAATTCTACAACATAAACAGATGGTCTCATTGATTCTTCTTAACTGATATTTTACTGCTTCTATTTCTGGTCGGCGGAGTGGGCATCAAAACAAGTAATCGAAAATAAAACATTGAAATGATTCTGGTTGAATTGAAAGGTTAGAACTGGTTTCAGATCCATTTTTGGTGCCCTTCCCTACTTAGGTTTTCATGCAATGTGTGGTGCAAAGTTAAACATTTTGTTAAAAAAAAAATGCATACATCAAGACTTATCTATCACTACTATAATTTTATTCTGCTGGTTATTGCTGATTTCCACTAATTATTTGTAATTTCCAAGGTCAGAAGATTCACTTGGAGATTGAGAAATTTAATCTGATTGTCTGTTATCTTTTTGTTGCTGATTTCCCTTTTCTTTTTTTTTCTGTATGTTTTTTTCATTAGGGCGTGAAAAAAGGAAGCGAAAACGAAGCCGTAGCAGATCGTCTTCCTCATCATCTAGTTCATCATCTTCTCCCTCCTCTTCCTCCTCTTCGTCTTCCAGCTCTTCTGGTTCATCGCATTCATCAAGTAGCAGCAGAAATAGCTCTAGCAGCAGCAGTGGTGAGTTTGCGCAAATATATCCAGCCTTTAATGTTTGTTTGTTTTTGTTTTTTTATAATGATTATTTTAGAGTAAAGGTAAAACAAAATGGGGATAAAAAGAATAATAAAATTCTCTTTTACATCAATTGCAAACCAATGCATACCCACAAGGAAAATGGAACGGTCATCTAGTTGTCGTCTGCAGTTGGAAAGAATAACTTATCGACATGTTTTTGTCGTTAAAAATTATATGAAATTGCGTTGTGTGATGATGGATCATCGTTAGCAATGCATGGACACAAAAGTATAATCGTATCCTTTGCAGATAACAGTGCAGATGATCTGGTTTCAGATCAGTTTTTCTGCTTTCTGAATGTTTGAAACTCAGTAAAGTGACTGTATTCTATTTGTATGCCCTTTTATATTTTCATCAAAACAATATTTGTCTCAATGCTTTGTTTTCTTGATGTTTTTTTAGACTCCCGCGGTAAATCCAGGAAGCAGTCCAAGAGAAGAAAAAAGGAGAAGCATAAAAAAGTAATACAGACCTCATTTGAAAATAATTTGTTCTCCGGTTCAAAAAATACACCTTGAACTTATATTTCTTGTGTTTGGCAACAGAAAGGGAAGAAGGAGAAGAAACAAAAGCGTAAAAAAGACAAGAAAGCAAAAGGAGGGGAAGACAAATCAGGACCTGTCCAGATCTCTAAGGTAAACAAACATTCTAGTGCTCAATATGTTTTTCGTTTAGCAGTTTCTTTACGCTCCAAGTCCAATAAAAAAGGGATTCTGACAAGAGTTTAGAGAATATTTTAAAAAGTTTGCATTGTATTAGGTTTTTTGCTCTTCTGCAGCTTGTCAGTGAAGCATTTCTAACATTTTATAGTGAATATCGAACGTAAGGAGAAACTCTTTGGACAAGATCTATGCCATAAATAGGAGGTGTGAAATGTAAAAGGAAATCTTTTGAAGTGCAAGAAACAAGAGGAACTATATTAAACCTTTTGAAATAGAGGTAAAAGTGAATAATTGTTTTGTTGTGAATGGATTCATAGTCGCATGTTAGCCTCATGAATCATAATCAAAAAGTTTTATCAAGTACCTGAAGTAGGGCAGGACGATATTTCAATAACAATATATAATGACGTGTGATGCAATAGAAAAAAAGAGGGTTGATAAAAGTTTGATATAGAAACACAATTTTCCTTCCTTTTCATTGTAGGTTGATGCTAGAATTACTACTTCCCTCTAACCAATCCCAATTGTCGACTCAGGCACGCCATCACAATGCACAGCTCTAGATAACCACAACACAGAGCATGTGACGATGTCACAGCAGGAGAAGCGATTTGTAAACTTTGCAGGGAGCCGGTAAAAGTCTGGTCTAGGAACACAACCAACTTGTTTTATCATCTAAGCCACTCACTCCTAAATGAGAAGGAGCTGTGTCGGCCCCGGCGCAGTTCCACATCGTCAGAGGAACCTTCAGGAAAATTCTGCCCAAACAAAGCAGGCAAAGCAAGCTAAACTAGGCTTCCTTCTTTGTGATAAATGTGACAAAGTTTACAAGCGGTATAAGGACATCACTCATGCAGTAACATACTTCCTAGCGATGGATATGGTGCCATTGTCTTCAGTTTAAAAAACCTGCCTTCAAACAGCTGCTCTCCACTTTTGATATGCAATACAAAGTTCTGGGCTGCAAGTTTCTGTCTAAATCAGCACTCCCTAATTTGTACAATGAGGGAAGGGAATCAGTGCAAAATGAGCTGCAATCTACAAAAAAAAGGTGTGAAGTGGGTTTCAACGGCACTCCAGAACCAGCAGTCCTTTCCAGATTTGTTTGGTTCCTTGATTTGTAAAACATACAGACAATAAATTGGTAATTATTTCCTTTTCAGATGTTTTGAATGTGAAACTGGTAGAAACTGTTTAAAAGTTAAGTTTGAAAAAGTGTGGAATTATAAGATGGAAATAAAAGTAGGAAATCCACTCAGAAATATTTTATATTTCTATGTAAAAAAGGAAAATGTAAATTCCCTTTCATACTTTTTTAAAATAAATATATCCACCCCTTTTTTATGATCAATTCATGTTACAGTTTAAAAGTCAATGAAATTCCTTGTATTTCTGACAAAGATTGATTCAGACTTTGAAAAGGTGAAAATGATGCACCTTTAGGTCTTAGGAACTGTATGTTGGCTTTCAATATGAATTTAGGTCACAATGTTTCTTGTCTCGTCATTTTCTTTCAGTATTTAAAAGAAAAGGAAAAGGGCAAGTACAGCATGATATCAGGAAAGAAGATAAAAATGAAGGTGAAGAAGTCAAAAAAAGACAAACAGGTATCCCATTTTCTGTTTTAAGTAAACAAACCTTTTTAAGTTGTTTTTTTTTTTTTTTTCACTGATTGCTTTCCTTTGTTTACATTTTTCATAACAGAGGGATAAAAACCGAGCAGAATTGCTGGAGTTCCTAAACTCTACCCTGTGAAGCCTCCTTGGCCCCTCTTCCTCTTGTTGGTCACTGATGGCAGAACTCAGGAAATAGCTGCTCCTGCCTCCCAGCAGGTGGACAAAAGAAGTAGGAGGCGACAAACAAGAATGACTGTTTTCCACCACATGGCGGCAGCAGCGAGCTGGATTCAAACAGGGACCGGAGGCTCAAACACATTCAGCTCAATAACTACATTTTCACCTTGTTTCTGTGCAGGTGGTCACCTTGAGGTCCTAGTAAGAAGTGTTGTTATGTAGAGAGTTTTGAATGTGATCAGATGTAACTCATAAACTATGATTTAGGTTGAAACACATTTTAAAGGTGTAATCTACCTATTCAGCCAGTTTGAACCGAACATAAACAAGTCTGTGTCATTGAAATGTCAGCTTCATGTGTATATATCTTTTCAGGGTCTTGACGTCATGTTCTGTCTAAAAAAATACAAAACAATCTATAAATTTATATTTTTAAGATGATGACCAACCGCTTATGTGTTTAAGATGGCCCACATGTTCAGTTTTAGAATGAATTTAAGACCCAAAGTGTTTTCAGTTCTAAAACAGACAATTTATTTGTGTACCTTTTCTTTTTACTATGAGGATTGAGCTGTGTAAGTTTCCAGCTATATATGACTCATTAATGGTAATTTTTCCGAGTATTTGTATTTTAGAATGGAGAAAAAAAATGTAATTCATTTATTTGTATGAAACCAGTTTGAATCCATGTTTGTATGATGGTGCATTCAGATCCATTTGTAAACAGTGTGACAAACAGACTGCAAATAAACCGCTGGAGAAATTTCATCTTCAATCTCTTCCTATTTTCTTCTTCCTTTTAAACCTTTCTGGAAATAAAAAAAGTGCAAAAAGCAAAGCTTTTAGTTTTCTAACCTTGGATGATGCATTTCACCGTTAAGTCATTGTGCTGTTGACACATGGAGGATGACTCACTGAATTATATAGAAAAGAAAACATGTCCCTCCTACAGAAAAATGTTGCACTTTAGAGCCATTTCATGTGTTCACACATTCAGCTTTGACCTAGTGTGCACTGTCTCTATCAAAAAAAGCTTTTAAGATTGCTTTGTAATTTTAAAATAATACTAGTAGGCTGTAGTACAAATGGCCCTTAATGCTTCAATGCATTATATGTAAAACACAAGAGACATGATTGCAAAATATAAATCTCAGGCAACATATTTACTGCTTCAAGTACTGAAAACTTATTGGGTACATTTAGAAAAGTAGAAATCTTATGTTGGCCTTGAACATATTAGACATCAAGTATCGGATATTGGTCCAACTTAAATGTCCAAGTGTCACATCTGACATTTAAAAGCCCCACATTAGACAACTCTACTGCTGCTTCCCTTGTATCTAAAGTCGGGCATGCTCCACACCCTCTGGGACCGCTCCTCCTTCTGCATCCCCTTCTCCACGTCCTCGGACACGGTTTTCAGGTCGCTCATCCCCGTCCCATTGGCCATTGCAGTGGTGAGACCAGTTGTGCTTCCGAAAGGGTTGATCTTGATCCGTGACCTGAAGTTCATGCTCATGGCTCGCTTGTTGTTCCACTGCCGGGCCAGCCGCTGTGCCTCCTGCTCCTCCTTCAGCTGATCCAGAGCCTCCAGGAGGACGGCTCTGAAGTGACCAGACACCTCTTGGACCTCGGGCTCATTGGCCTGTATGACATCTCTAAACCTGATAAATGAAAATCAGAGTTACTTATCTCTCTTTATTCAGGGTGATCAGATTTTTCTCTGACTTGAATAAAAATGGAAAGTCATTATCTCACAATAGAGAAATTCATTTCTGCATCTTAACCCATCGCCATTGGGAGCAGTGGGCTGCCATTGCACGTTGCCAGGGGAGCGATCAGGGTTTAAGGGTTTTGCTCACAAACCCAGAGTGCAGGCTGTGGGGATCGAACCAGGTACTTGCAACCTTCACAGAGCACAAGCAAACTGCTCTAACCACTACACTACAAAAAACACAAATCTAGATAAGTCATTTTTTCTTAAAATAAATGCATTTGCTCTTGAATTGAGGTGATAAAAGAGACATTTTGCCAATGGAAAAAGACAATTTATATTTGAAATAAGAAAGCACAATTGCATCGACTTATTTCCAGTGTATATTATCTAATTATCTTGTTTTAAGAGTAAAAATATTCATTCCATTCACAAATAATCTCATTTACCTACTGAAATAAGGGTAAATACACTTAATTTAAGGATTTTTTTTTTTACTTATTTCTAGATCGTTTTTCCAGTGCGCTCCAACACTCCCCTTCAACTTTAAATCCTTTATTGTTTTCCTTCCACTTTAATATTTTAAAACATTTTGTGCTTGTCTTAGGTAGAATCTAAATAAAGTACAACAAGGTATGACTTTAAATAATCAGGAAATTTAAAAAAAAAGTTGAAGTAGCAGCCTGATAATATTATTTCAATGAACTACTTTCTACTTTCAAATATTGATTTATTGAAATTTTGTATTTTCAGTGTAAATTCATATTGTTATCCTCACCCGTTTAAAAAGATACGTTGCATATCTGCTAACTGCTATGATGGCAGCTCCAAAAATGATAAGGACAAAAAGAGTAACATTACTAATCTACAGAGATGGGAAGTAACGAAGTACAAATACTTCGTTACTGTACTCAAGTAGATTTTTCTGATATTTTTACTTTACTTTACTACTTATTTTTATGGTGACTTTTTACTTCTACTCCTTACATTTTTACACAATTATCTGTACTTTCTACTCCTTACATTTTTAACTTCATTTCAATGGAGTTACCGTTATTATTTTTCACGTCATCAATACCAAATTCAATCTAATTGGATGGGAATCTACGTTGCATTTGACGCAGCACTACAAGATGAATCGACAGATTCTGCGGTATTCATTCGCGGCAAATCATTGCAGCTTGGTGGCGGTGGCGTTAGCATAGTAGTATGGACGACGAGATGATTGAAAATGAACACAACGGAGATCTAGTCCTATTGGCAGACATCCATTTAAAATTTAGGCAACGGCATGAAAAAAGTGGTTTCTACTTTTACTTTTATACTTTAAGTAAATTTACAAGCCTGTACTTTGTTACTTTTACTTGAGTAAAGAAGTTTAATCAGTACTTCCACTTTTACCAGAGTATTTTTAACACAAGTATCTGTACTTTTACTCAAGTACAGAAAGTGAGTACTTTTGCCATCTCTGCTAATCTATAAGATCCATCTGTCTCCTCCCACAAGCTGTTTATCCTCCCGCCAGCTGGACGACAATCCCACAAATTAACAAATGTGCAACAAAATCCTTCCTCAAGCAACAAAGCTGCAACTTCCCAATGAAATCCACCTGACAACATTTAAGAATATACACAAAAATAATGAAGATTTTTTTTTTTAAATCAGTCTTTAAAGCAACTTCTAGAGAGCAAAATGTTAAAGATGTAACACATGTTACATTATAAACAAATATAAAAGCATGCTAAGACACAACTGAAACAGGATGTTTTAGTTTTTCCAACATCCAGAGGCAGCTGTTGGTTGTACAAAAGTAAAATTAGATGCTTAAAGAGAACACAACAAAAAAAGAGCAATCCAAGTATAATCTGAAGAGCTGATTGAGAAGATTAATTTTTACTCAAAATGTGCTGATAAAATGTCACACTCAAAAGTGCGGTTTTCTCCAAGCAGAAGTTTATGAAATGATTTTCTTGTTTCTTTAAAACTAGAATCAGGTGCAGAAATTTTGATTTATTAGCAAAGTTTTACCTACAGTATGAACACGGACCTAAAATCATTCACACTAGGTTGGATAAAGACATAGTTAATGAAGGGGGTTGGGGGCGCAGACACTGGAGCTGGCTTAATCCTGGTTGGATGTTTGACTCCTCTGCAGGGGCAGAGCTAGGTGCCATGGCCACCCCTGTGACCACCCCTACCATTTTTCCCCTCTAATACAAACGGTGGCAGCAGTAATACTCTGAAGGGGAATGTTCAAACTTGTTAAACATTTAAATTTGTCATATATTAACAACTACTTGACAACGGAAACACTCTGGTTAATTATGCACATCAATATACAAACATTAAAGATGATAGATACAGAATTCATGCTCTTTTCAGAACTAAACTTTGAATTATTTGGAGTAAAGATAAAATGATGTGCCTCTGCAAGTCATCTAGGCGTCTTCAGTGAAATCATAGGTAAATAACTACTTTTATAATAACATAAAATTAATAAAATGTGGATATTAGTAGATTTAAATATAATTTTTTTGCAGAATGATTATTGATAAAAGTAGGTAATGACAATTGAAATATGTTTGCCCCAGAACTCAAACCTGAAAGAATTTTATCCACTATACCTTTTATTTACACAGCATAGATGTTTAAATATATGTGTCTATTTGTTAGCAAAGGCTGCAGGAAAGTATAGTTTGTCTTTATTTAGAAAATATGGATGTTGAGATTGTTCCTGTTGGAACAGTGTAGATTGACCCTAAGGTTCTCGACCTTCGAAGTCCTTCATTTGCAGTGGGGTGTAGATTGGGTCTATAGATAAAGTTCAATATTTTCCTACACTATACTATCTAAGTTCAGGTTTGACATAATCATTGTCCTATTCAGACATCCATTTGAGTCCACATGGTAACTATCTGACCCAAACCTTTGTCCTCAGAGGAGGAAATTAGTTGCTGTTCAGGAAACACCCAGATGCAAGGCTAATAGGCATAAAAGAGACCCCTTGTTGAAAAGCCGTGTAATTCCCGGATAACAGATTTTACGGTAACTCAGACATGACAATGACTGAACAATTTGACCACAGTGACAGACCAAAATGTTTTGGGAAGTCAATATGAGGCTGTTGAAGCAAAGAACTCTGTATGTAAAACATGGAGGAAGAAGCATCATACTGATGGTTTGTTTTACTGTCAGTGACTGTTGCTTTGCACGGGTTAAATAGGCTGTTGAAGAATTTTCAGACGTTAATGAAAACAGCTAAATGAATAAAAGCTGAATAAAGTTGGGTGTTTCATGGCTTGAATGAAGCTGCACAACATTTAGCTTCTGGATTGTGATCATTTTATTATTTATATATATTATTTATTTTAGTTATAAAATATAAATTCTTGATGGGAAATTAACTACTAGTTTTGAGAGGTGGTCAAAAATATGCTATGGGTTGTGGATTGTTTGAAAAGAAGAGGTGACAAAAGCATTCATGTTTATTACACAAGTAGAAATATAAATCCTTTGTTTAAAAACACTTTTGTAGAAATTAGAGTATCCACTTAAGCTTTTTACTCTAGTAAAAGTGTAAAAGTACTATTTTAAAAACTACTTAAAGTAAAAAAAAGTAAAGGTAATGCAGCACAAAACGATAAGGATAGATGCTTTATTGCACTACCCTATTGAAGAAAAATGTTTCCACAATTCTGGATGAAAATTTTCTTGTACTTCTCTTAGTTTTATAACTAATGGCAACAAAATTTAACTTTGCATTAGAGTCCTGCAACGGGTCGGGTACCCGCGGGTCCCCGACAGGTCACCCGCTAAAATGTTTTTTTGTGGGTGAAAAATACATAAATAAAAATAAACGGGTACGCGGGGTCAGGCGGATATTTTTTTAGTGCGGGCGGGTAGTTGGTGATTTTTTTTTATGCGTGTGTGTTGTTATGGACATTAGAAATGTTATATTAATCAGGCACTGAGGTCACCCTTGTTGTAGCCTAAAGCCCTGCCGGCAGTGTGGGCTTCCCTCCAAAATGGCCACAGTCAGTGCATACACATCTGCTGCAGTGTTAATGGCGCTGCTCTGCAGCGCAGCGTACTATAGCCTATTACTTGATGTGTTAACTGGTCGGGTTACGTGTTAAATATCAACGGGTTGGGTCGGGTTGAAGATATCCGCGGGTGACGGGTCGGGTTCGGTAGTCATCCTAACGGGTTCGGGCGGGTGCGGGTTGGTAAAACTCGACCCGTGCACAGAGGCGCAGCTTGTCAACAGGCAAACCAAGCAACTGCTTGGAGCCCCGAGCTGCTGGGGGGCCCCCCGAGAGCCAGCTACTGTACACCCCGTAGATAAACAGCAACAGGTGAGCATGAAGTGGCAACGCTATAGTGACTGAGGAGATGCACAACTGCATTTAAAAATTCCAATTGGATGGAATGTTGATTGACATTGGCTTTGCTCAGTCAAAATCCAGCCCAGCCCAGCCCAGGTGGATGACTTCCCTTAATAAAAATGAACGTAGCCTAGCGAATGGGTGACGTTGTAGGCCTATCGTTCAGTAAATTGGAAAGCAATTATGTAACTAAGCTGAAGGAAAATTATTCATTTTCCATGTCTCAAGAGAGACTTTCAGGACTGGCGCTTATTTCTATAGAGTATAGCGTGCAAAGGTCTTTGGATCTGGAGGACTTAGGCCCCGTCCACACAGAGTCAAAACGAACACGAAACGCTAATATTTTCCACAACGTTTGTCGTAAAGACGGAGACGTAAAATAAATGTGATCGTCCACACGAATGCATGAAAACGCTGCAAAATGTATGCCAGGCCTTTAAGTGGCGCTGTGTTGCCAAAGCAAAAATAGGGGTCGAAATGTTGGGCATGCGCACTAATATTTATACATGGTTGCCCTGCGGGTCCATTTTCGTGGTTCAGTCAAATTCAGGTGCTGAACTATGTCGTCGATATTGCTCTGTTCTTCCTGGAGATATTCCAGAAGAAGAAGATTCTGTTGTAAGCCCGACAGCAGGGTGAGTAGCATGAGCAGCAACCATTCAACACAGTACGGCGCCATTGTTGTTGTGATACTGTGTTGCGCATTCGTGTTTAGAGGCGACGCTATGACGCATGCGTGTAAGAAAAAAAATGCGGTTAGAGCTTAAAGATGGAAAAGCGAAAACGGCGTTTCAAAATCTTCCCACTCTAAAGGCCTAATAAAAAAAAGATCGTTTACAGACCCCCGAAACGCCGGCTTCGTATGGATGAGAGGCTGGTTTGGTGAAAAATTAGTGCGTTTAGGCCAGGGTTTGGCTTCGTGTGGACGGGGCCTCAGTGTCTGCATTTGCACAAGCCAAGGCCCGTAAGCAGCAATTCTGGAAGCAGTATAGGACCCCAATAATTTCACTACACTTACTATACTTTATATTTTGTACAAAGTTTATATTGGGTTTTTAAAGTAACTTACTGTTTTTTTTTTTATTGTATTATACATTTATTTTAATTTATTAGTTTTTTCTTTACTTTTATTCTTTTATATTTTCCAAAATAACAAGGTTGTTCATGTTTAGAACATTTGGAATAAAAAGTTTTTGTATTTAATTAATACATTTTTCTTTGGTGTCAGATTATTTTTTTGCTTGGGGCCCCCACAGACTCTTGAATCGCCTCTGCCCGTGCAGGACTCTACTTTGCATCATCTTGAAAAACTATTTATTTTGTTATGTGGTGGACAAAAGGTTGGTGCAGCACCGAGTCCAACAACACAGAAAGGAATTCTCTGGATGAAACAAATAATTTGATGGTTATTATTTTTAAATACCAACAGGCCATAATGACAATTAACTTGAATGAAACAAAACTAACAAGTCATTTTTAAACTGTAAGGAGTACTGTAGGATATAGAGGTAATTGCAAAAAAAAAAAAAATGTAAGGAGTTGAAGTAAAATAAAATAACTCCAAAAATAATTACTCCAGTAGAGTATAGATAGCAAAAAATTCTACTTAAAGGTATAGTGGGGGATTTTGTTTTTCCGGGTGGATCATCTAAATAAGTGGTCCTCCCCATTGTCAATCATTCTGGTGATATGTTTATGTAAGGCCCTCCTACTCCCCATTTTCACTTACCGTTACTGAGTCTGACATAGTAGAAAAATGTCTTCTTTTGGAAAGTAAGCTTGTATGAGCAATGCAAAGAGCAACTTTTAAAAACTTTTTAAAAGAGTGTGGAGGAGAAAAATGGGCTTGTACATGCTCTCACACACGCTTTTGGGAGTGGGTACAGGGTTGTGCATGTGCATTTGTTTTTTTTAAAGTGGAGAGGGAGGGTTTTTTCAAAAATTCCTCAAAATCCTCCACTAATTTAAGTAAGGTAACAAGGTATTTATACTTTGTTACTTCTGTTGAAAAGGTTTGTGAATTCTCTGCAACCTGCCAAGGACCCTCATCAAACAGTTGCAACTATAAACTTAAAACAGTCAGAAAAAGACAAAAAAATAATTAATACAGACACAAGGGTTTAAATCCTGTCAACTCTTGGTCAACAGTAAACCATAATCTAGACTACAAACATGCAGAGGATGAGTCACACCAGCTAAGGTGTTCTCACACAGGCAGATTTTAAACAACACAAATTAGTAGAGACGGTCTATTTAAGTGGAAACTCTCACCCAGGGTTTACACAAAAACATTAAAGTGATGAGAAACACAGAGCACAACAGCCCAGGATATAGACGTCTCCTCCCCCCACCAGTGTGAACACCGAAATCCCGCCAAGCTCTCAATTACCGCTCCACCTCCCCACAGGAGGTGGCTTTGCCTTAACAAGCCTTTAAGGACTCGTTTTCTGGAGACATGCTTCCCACCCAATGGCTTCTGTCTACTGATATTTGGCTTTTAACTCATCAGATTTTGATTTGTTACACCAAAAAATTTTTTTAATTTATCTATATAAAGATTAAATATATATATATATATATATATATATATATATATATATATATATATATATATATATATATATATATATATATATATATATATATACATACATATACATACATACATACAGTAAACAAACAGCGATGATAATACTAACAACATGCTGCAGCTGTTGTTTTGGATTATAACTGATGTCTGTTCTAACAGCACATTGTAGACTGCAGCAGCTTTCCAGGAACAGGTGGTGAAGTGAGCTCAGAACTGCTGCAGATTAACACTTGGAGACGTGCTTGATGATGCAGAAGAGAGCCAGAAACATCCGTTTGCTTAATTAATCTGTGCTGATAAAGTTTAAAGGTACTTATATTATTTCTGTTTATGCAAAAAAATGCAAGCAGTGGTTGCAGATCGATGGGAAATATGTTCCTAATTCAGAATGTTTTTTATTGCAGGTCTGGTCTTTTGACGTTTTTCCAACCAAACAGTGATGTCTTGTAACATTGGTAGATACACCAAGAAACTTATTAACACAGATTAATAATTACATTTTATTTCAATGGAACTTTACATGGTTTAAATTATGTTACACAAACATATTTAACACGTATTGTTGAATGTAGATTCCTGGAGAAAGCCATGAATTGAACTACTGTTAGCTATAATAAGTGCCTGTTCTTGTTTTGTCTTTCATTGAACAGCAACCCTGTTTTTAGCTCCTTTTATCTAATTTTCCTGTAGGGTGTACCCCTTTTCCAGGAGCTCTGTTTCCTTAAACCTTTGTTTATGTTGCTGTGTCCCTTTCCTTCAGCTGTGCATGTTTCCCGGAGAAATCCCTCAATAGATCTGGTATTGATTTTGTGTTAAGCTGTGTCTCTTTCCTGAGAGAATCAGTTTATATAACTATTGCTTGATTTACTGTGTGCTCTCTTTATATGTCCGTGTTTCTTGAAGATATTGAGAGCTGAGTTCTAAAGTGGAAATAGCGACTTGCACCACTAACTGTTAGATTTTCTTTCCCATAAAACTTGCAGTTGGGCTATTGATGCTGTGTTTATTTCCATGTGGAGCAAATTTCTATATATTTTTACCTTTATTTGCATTAAAAATAGGCTCTACAAAGAATTGATTCTTGGGGCTGAGTACAACTTTACTCTACACAAAGATACAAATGTGCAAAACAATCATAATGTCCCATGTATATTTTGGATAAATATTTCTCAAACTTTCATTCTACTATAAAACAAAGCTTCCCTATCTTTTCTTTTAATTTGTAAATTAGGTTTAATGTTGAAAGAAGCGGAAGCAAATAGGAAAACCTAAAAACCTAAACCTAAAAACCCCCAAAAAGGTCTAGTTGATCATCTGAACTTACAGAGTAACTTTGTTGAATTATATCTTGGATTGTTGATTTATTTTACAGACACAAAAAACACGCAGATAAATGCTCATTGTGATGTCTGTGTCTCCCTTACTTGAGGATGACCAGGCCACAGCAGGAGGGGGGCACCTTGGAGCAAAGGTCCTCCAGGGCCAGTCTTTCTCCGGTGCTGATGTTGAAGGAGGAGCGAGGCGTGCTGGCCAGCCAGCTGTAATCCACCCCGGTCTTCAGGCGCCGGTACTGGTTCTCCCTCTCTCTCTGCATCCTCTCTGCTTCCTTTAACTGCCAGCTGAACTCCAGCATCAAAGTGTCGGTGACCACGTCAGCTGGGTCCCTGCGGGGGCTCCTCTGGTAGGGCTCGTTCCAGCTGAACCAGGACGCCATGGCCCTGTCCTCCGTCACTTTCTCCTGAAGGACAAGAATGATGGGAATTTGACCAAAACATGAATTGGAAAGGAATAATTCTTTTTGTATTTTTTGGTATTAATGTATCTTCATATTTTTTATTGTGTTTTCTCATTTCTTTTGTGTAGAGAAGATCAATCAAACATTTTATGACTTTGAAAGATTTTTATAGAAACTCCACCAATATCAAGACAAAATGAATTGCTGTCCTCATCTATAATTCTACACTTTCCTCTGGGATGATGAGAAAAATCTTTTTTTATTTCAATTGTGAGCTTTTACAAGAAGCAGTAAAAGTCTTTTAGACTCAGTTTTGTCACTTGTTGATGAATTTTGTTTTGACAAATTTGTCTCTATTGCTGCCCTATCCAAAAATCTGTATCACACTGTGAGTGCAGACACCTACCTGCTGCAAACCCTCAGACGATTCTGCACCTATCGAAACACAATCCTATGACACAAAATCCTGGTGTTTTTTTAACGTTTTTAATGGTGTGTATGAAGGTTTCTTTTTTCATGAAAAGCATTTGTGCATTGTAATTTAGAATTTGAAGTTGCAAAGAAAAATAAAAGACAGTTTTTATAATTATTTAATTTCATTTTTTTTATTATTATTTTTACTATTACAAAGAAAGTACCTTCCCTTTGAATAGTACCGATACACTAATCCTGTTCTATATGAGTCACATATGAAAGCCCTCTTTTATTCTCAGTTTTGCTCCAACTGTCACGATTATGCACCTTTTGGTTCTGTTTAAGTTTTCTTTTTGAGTTTTCAGTTATACTTTGATTCGTGACTTTCTGTACTTTCTAGTTTATTGGTTTCATTTTCATTTTGTGTCATTCTAGTTGTTTTTGGTTATATTATTTGAGTTGTTGTGTATTTTTTGTTTACCCTCTTGTGTCAGTCCCCTTCTCCCAGTTCACTTCTTGATTCTTCTCCCAATCTGCTGAATAGCCAGGTCTGTGTTCAGTCTCCCATTTAATCATCACATTGATGTGGCTCATGCTACATACTCCGGTATGCACCTAAAAGTCAAGGTTGCAGTCTGCCATTAAACTAATACTAATACTAAAAAATAAGAAGAAGTCTCCCATTTCTACACCTCCTGTTCAGTTACTGTTGCTAGTTCCTTGTAGTTTCTCTGCTCCTCATGTGTGTTTTCCCTGATGCTTCCTAGATTTTGGTTTTCTGTATTTGTTATTCTGGGAATTTTGCCTAAGGTGCCACCTTTTTTATTTATTAAAAACTAAAAGATGCCACTTCAGCTTCAGTCTCTGTATTTGCGACCTCCACAACCTCCACTCAATCTGGCACCAACTGATCCAGAGATATTGTTGCAAAACTTTTTGTGCATTGTACTTTTTGAGTATTGTTATTGGTGTGACTTTTTCGTAGTTGTAAAAGTTAGAAAAAAAATCTATAATTGCAAAAACCTCGACTTCAAATTCACAATTATAATATACAAATTCTTATGATCCAAAGCTACCTTAAAAGGTCTATAGGCCAAGATCTATGCTTAGGCTGCAAGAACTCAGGGGTGCTTGAATGAAATAGCATCCTTTGGTTCATACAGCCGTGATTCTGGAGCTGTTGCTGTTTGTTCTTAACATAATTATTGGGAGAGTGTTGGGCTAGTGGTTAGAGCAGTGCTCTTGTGCTCAGTTCAATCTCAACAGCTGGCATTCTGGGACCCTGAGCAAGACCCTTAACCACACACTGCTCCCAGACATGAGGTTCTTAATGATTTCAGAAGCAATATCCTGAGCAGCAATCAGTCTTGGTAAAGATTATAAGAATTTGTGGTGAGACAAAATGATAAAATAAGTTATATTATAAATTCAGGCTGACACACTGAAATAATGCTTTAAGTTGAACTCTGTCAGGGCTTCACCCTTTTGTATGAGATGACTTTACTGAAAATATGTCAAATGTTATCTAGAGAAACACCATTAAGAAAATCTTTTGCTACAAACCAAGGAAATTGAACTTTTTGCAGGTTAATAATATGTAAAACTAAACCTCAGCTCAACTGAAACAAATACATTAAAAAAGACATATCACTGGAAAAGTGTCTGTCACAAATATTGAATAAAACCTTTTATACAACCCATTGCCCTAACACATATAGAATTGTAAAACACTTTTATTGCAGTTTATTATTTATTTCTGCAATTATAATAAATCATTTTTATGTATTTTAATAATGACACTGACCAGTTAAGCATCATCCTTTTCATCTTCCAGCTACTTGTTCTTTAGCAGGTGTAGTAGCTACTCACAGCTACCATGGGGACTCTTTGTCAGTGCAGAAAATAAATAAATAAATAAAGTCTGGAGCGCAGGCAGCTGATTGATGTTTAATGACTGTGATCAAAAGACTTAATCAGGTCCTACAATCACTGTGCTGCTTGATGATAAGAGCTGCAGCCTCTTATTGTTCGACAGAGGAAAAAAGAGCTTGAAGGGTTTAAGTAATTGGCCCTACTTTTCCAGCAACAAAACTGAATGAAATGCAATCAGACCCAGACTGCAGAATATAAAGTCTGTCTAGTTTTTTGTGAATAATCAATGTTTTGTTCATTTTATTTTTTTCATTCTCCTCTAAAGATGCTTGTTAATAACTTTTTTCTTTATGCATTTTAAGTCAGTGTCTAAAAAACATTTTATGAGTGACATTATGATTCTAAAGATTTGAATGCAATCTAAAAAACAACACAACAAACCCCTAGAGGTGTTTATTTGAGGCCCCTGCAGTAGGTGCATTTATTGGTTTACGTCTCTATAAAGCCTGTCCTGTCTTTTTATCTTTAGTTAATCTGTCAACATATAGTCAAGCTGTCCTCGAAACCACAGCTGCTCTTTACACTTCACTCTGCTTGACTTTTTTTAGGTTTGCAGGTCAGATTATCCTCAACATGCTCAATAAGAAGGTTTTCCGACAGACAAAGTGAGATTAGAGCCGCGGCCGGTGGTTTACTAGGTGACTGACCCGTCAACATGGCACCAGATCATTAGATATCATGTGGTCCTTTCCACTGTCCTGCTTCCTCTCTCTTGTTTATATAACATGTTCAATCTCTTAAAGAAACTAAATCATCTTTTTTCATTATTATTTTTTTGTGTTTGACGGATTCTAATTCTAAATAATACAACTTCTCTCTCATAGTCACTCTTATAAAAACAAACAGAAATTCTTATTAAACAATGCAACAGTTTATAACAACTTGCAAGTTTAATTCAAAGAATTCAACAAGTATATTAATAAATCCATGATAATATACATTAATACATTAAAAGTCTTCCAGTTTTGCACCAATAAAGAAGCAAAAAAAAATTCTTTCTGCTACTTTTTTATATTTTTTGTCAGTAAATTAATCTTTTTAAGGTTATATAAAATGTTTGTTCTGATCTGGTGATAGGGGATTATTTATTTAAAGAGTTCTGTTTTCTAACTCACTTTACATTCAAATTTAAAAAGGCAAACAACAACAAAAAAACACTTTCTTGTTATACAAAATCAACCTTTTGTTTGTAACTCGTAATTTTTAAGAAGAATGTCATATTTTCTTTGTTTACCTGCTGGTCTCGTTCTCAGGTTTGGTGTCGGGCTCCAGTGGGAACTTAATTACAGAAGAAAAAAGTGTAATATTCCTCAGAGAGGCAGCTGGAGAGTCTAAATGAAAAGCAGAGACAGAAGAGAGATGGTTTCTCTCTCTCTCCTCTCTCAGTGTTATTTCCACCTCTCTGAGCCTTCCTCCTCCTCCCCTTCCTCCCAGGAGCTTCTTCTGCCTGCCTTTACTTGTTGCAGGAGGTTAAGGGCAACATCTCCAAGGGAAGGCATTGGATCACAGCCCCTGATGAAGTGCTTATGTAGCTTTTTACGATTTGCTGTTGCCATAGCAAAGCTCCTAAGCCTATTTGTCCACGAGAAGCTCCATCAGCTGTAAGGGAGCTGGAGAGCGATAAAGAGGCAGAGAGAGAGAAAGAGCGGAGTGGGCTGAGCAGTGAGATGGACAGAGAGACATAAATCAAAGAAATGTTGCTCTGAGGATGGAGTAAATGAACTGATGATGGTTGAGTTTGACTGTGAGAGTCACCCTCACAGGTAATGAGTATCAGCAGTGGTTTAAAGCAGGGTCAGAAATGTGTCCACTGCAGCAGGAAAGCCGTGTGTTTCTGTGATGCAAATAATCGAATCCAGACGGAATATGCGATTGTTGTGTAGGTGGATTTCAAGGTTTTGTTGCTTTATTCCGAGTGTAGGTGGGAGTAGCTAACCTCAGACTCATCCTTTCAACACATATTCACTTTAATCCCATCCTTGCCACAACGAACCTCCTCCTCCTCCGCTTTCCACTGTATACTGAAAAAAAGACTGGGTAACCTCTGAACTCTAGTCAGTGACAAGAAACATCCACACAGAAAAAAAAATGTGAAAACATCCTGTTAAAATGTTTCCTGTTGTTGTTAAATACAGACTGAGGTACTGCACAGGGCTCCTTGCTTCCTGAATGAACGGCATTAGAGAAAAAAGGTCAAAGACTCAATAGTTGTTAGTGTCTTGAAAATGTAGTCAGGCAGAAATACAGTCTGGTTAGTGACCATTAGAAGAAATGTTTTCTGTTTAATTAGTCCATGTTTATTTTAATAACTATACCTACTTTATATCGTATACATTTAGATCTAAATGTCTTTCTGATTTCTATTAGAACAAAAAAAAACATAAAAGATGTTATCCTTAAGCTTATCTGAAGCTTATTCAAGGCTCCACATAGGTTTGTTGGGTGCTTTGTGTCCTTGTGTCAATGTAGGTTTATTTATAGCACCTTCACTACGTGAAACAAATCATAACTTTTAAACAAACTGACTGGATTTATAAGAACTTGTGTCTGAACTTTAACCTAGAGGTTAACGTCTTGAGATGTTGATTTAATTTTTGCTCATACTACCATCACTTTTGTAAGGTGCAACACCCCCTTCTGCAGCAATACACCCTTTAATCATAATGCTGCCACCACCATGCTTCACAGGATGCTCCTCTTAGTCTTGGATCTTTCTCCTTTTCTGTCTTTATATTTAGAAATATGCTTGAAATATTTAAACCTTAGCTTTATCAGACCAAAATACATATTCCCCCCAAAAACAGGTCCTTGTTTCTGTCTGCAATTACAGAATGTTATCCTCTAATTCAACCAGTGACTTTACTATTTTGCATCCTCAGATGTTTTCAAAGCTGCAGCATACATATACATATCTAAGAAACACAGGAAAAATAATATATATTTTAGATTATTCTGGAGTTTAGCAGGTAAAAACATGTTTAATAATCTTAACTGATTTGAAAATCAATAATTATTTTTCATTCCAATGATGCATTTTTTCTATGCAGTGTGAGTAAAAATTGGGTTTTAGCTGCATAAATGAATAATTTGAGATTGTATCGTTCCTGAAAAGACTTCATTCTTAAGTGTGATACGGTGGTGAAAACTTTGTTGTATTAGAAGTAAATATTATGGACAGGCAGAACAACGGCTTACTTTGCCTGAAGGTGACAGATGGGCAGGTAAACACAGTCCGTAATCCAAACACATGACAGGCTTAATCCTCAGCTGCATGTTTTGCTCACAGCAAAATGAGGTTGGGTATTCAGACTGGATACTGGATAGGATCCTTGTATTAACATGTCATTATTTTCTTTGCCACCAGAAAACCAATCTGACATGAAGCAGGATGTCATTTAATTAATCATGATCCGCTGCTGCTGTTTTTTTTCATTTGTGATTTTCACAGGTAGAGCCATCAAGTAAAATAAATAAATAAATATTTTAACAAAAACAGTGCTATGGGCAGCTGATGACACTGATATTGCTATCGGATTAATAGCTGAGGGGTTGTAGGTTATATATTTTAGGTTGGATCAATGTTTATTAATGAGTCTTGCCTGCTTTAAATCACCTTTTGTCAAGATTTTTTCCTATTTACCTCACAGCTAAATTCATCAGCAGTTTTATTCCCTTGAACTCCACACATTTCTAAAATACAAAAACTTTATTTATTTATTTATTATTTATTTATTTATTTCTAAACCAAAAAAAGTAAGAATTATAGATGCTTTCTTAGAATTGGTAGCTCATAAGATAATGACTAGTATGTAATAAACACACAATTAAACCTCGTTATATAGCAGGTTGTTTGTTTCCAATGTTTCCTGTCTTAATAAAAATGTGTGGTCGGAGTGTGTTGGGACCCGCAGAAAAAAGCTATTCCAGCTCACCAATCATGCATAGACCACCACTGATAGTGCAGATTTTTAAAGCTCGGTTCCCTATGTTTGGAAGGCCACATTTGAAGACAGTTTAACATAAAAGATTCAAAAACAAATCTTTTATTCTGCAATTGAAAAATTTTGGTTAAGAGCTCCGAAACGTTTTGTTTTACCATAACACACAGCTCCTTATTCTTTTCACTGTCGATGTGGACTTTATCCTGCTGCAACAAAATGGAAGAAATTACTGTACAAAAAGCAAGTCTTTTCCCTTTTTTAAAGCTTTCTATTTTTTAAATACACATTATGCAAATTATTTCCCGATATTGCTATTGATGCATTTATAGAAAACGTAACAATTTATATATAAGTTATAAGTTAGAAAAAAACAGCTCTTAGACAGCACACAAAAACTTTTTTTGTTGAGAGAGAGAGAGAGAGGGTAAAGTTGCAGGGAAAATCTAAATTTTAAAATCTTACATGCGGGATGACATGAGGTGAAGGTGCTTTTCAATAAATGGTGTGAATATATTGAACAAACTCAAAGCAATGTCCAAGAATGAGATCAACATATACTTCTGGTCACTATATATAGATGTTTACAATGTTTTTCATTGTTTGTGGATGTGTGGGCAATAAATAAAGGTTGTTTAAACAGAGGTGTAACTAGTAACTACTTAAGTTTACTCAGTTGCATTTACTTGAGTAACTTTTAGAAAGAGAAAATTAGGAATAGTTGTGATTTAATGTACTTTTTACTTCGCTAATATTCTAGTGAGAGTATTGCTCGCTTGGTTATGTAAAATATCTAGATACTTTACTTGCGCTATCAGACAAAAACACAGGAAACAAAAAAAAAACAAAGTTTATTATTTCTTCATATTACATATGTATTACCTGCTGCAAAGAGTAGTTTTATAAGTTTGTTTTGACAATTCTTTTTAGAAAAAGTGCTGTTTAATTTTGTTGCTTTGTAATCATGTTATTTTCTTTTGACGCTTAAATATCAGAATATGTACATAATGCTTGGCCTGGTTGCATTAAAAAAAAATTAAAGCAGTTGTACTTTAACTTGAGTGCAGTTTTTGGATATTTAATTTGAAGATGTGTTTGTATGTTTATTTGTACATAAATTCATTTATTTGCTCTTAGAGATCGTGGACTCATAAGTAAAGTAGGAATCAGAAAGGTTGTTGAGGACTATAAGGGTACATATGGGTATAATTAAATAGGTTTCACTTCTTTATTTATTTATTATTTTGTTTGACTGGGACAATGTACATTATAAAACTTTTCTGTAAATGTACCTGAATTAGCATTAACAGCTATTTTTCATCTGCTTTCCCTGAACAGATTTTCACAGACATCCTAAAAACCAGCATTACGTTGAAATAAATACAATATAATGCTCAAGCACATCATATAAACATTAAGTAATCAATGAGCCACTTCCTCTGTAAACCTTAAAATTGTTAAGAGTGGCTATTTCCCTGATGACCATTGATGCTGTGCTCCCCTCCTCTGCTGCCTGTACCATCTGCATTAGACCAAATAGTAAGGAAATATTTAATATGTGACAAAATCATTGCATGCGTAAAAATGTTGGCTCCTTGCATGGATAGTTGTGGTTGTATAAAATATACATTCGTTGAGCTGAATTTCACTCTGTGACAAACTTTTTGGGTCTTTGTTTTAAATATGGACTTAACCCCAAACCCCTAAAAGTTTAAATTAGGTCACAACTTTGATCTTTTCCCCTGCCACATTTGAATAAGTGACAAGACCTTAGGATCATGTAAAGAACATTGCAACAGTTTATGATAGATTAAGTTGTAAACACTTTTCTTCTAACCATGCCGTAACATGAACGTTGACGGTCAATTTGTCACAGACCTGCTGAGCGTCAGTTCCATAGGTATAAAGGACTAAATCATCTGTGTACATATTTGGGCAAACCAGAGGAAGATTATTAATATATAAAGAAAATAATAAAGGCCCTAACATCGAGCCCTGGGGTACAGGGAGAGGTGAGTGATAGTTAGAGATTCTTGCAGATTGTGACCTGTTTGACAAGTAGGATTCCACCCATTTTTGTAACGGGAACTGAAAGTTGGACCCAATATTCAGCAGACAACAGAATGTTTCACAGGTTTATTTCAAAAATAACTGAAAGAGGACGATGGAAACTCCTCAGAGCGGGTTCTCTGATTCTCTGCTGAGACAGGAAACTCAGGTCAGTGACAAGAATGAAGAGTGGAGAAGACAACAAAAAGTCACTGACCTGGTTGAGAGTTCAGTTCGAAGCTCAGAGAGGAGAAACCCAGGGGGAGACAGTCCACCGCTTGCGGTCGTTACCGCTTCAAAGAACAGTACGTGGGGGAGCCGGCGCCAGCCACCGGCAAGCGAGCTGAAGTGTCCGTGAGGGATGATGCGAAGCCGATATCCAGTCCAGAGCAGTGTCAGAAACCTTGAGATCCGAGAGCCGAAGAGGTATCCAGGGAAAATCCAAGCCGAGGTCAGAAAAACAGTCCAAGTTCGATTACAGGCTAAATCCAGGCAGTCAGGCCAAAAACCAAACTAAGC